TTGTTTTGTTTTGTTTTGTGACAGGATCTAAATATGTACTTCAGGCTGGCCTTTAATTCACTACATAGCCCAGGCTGACCTCAACTCAGGATAATCCTCCTGCCTCCGGTGTCACAAAGAGTGCTGGAATTACAGATGTACACCCCACACCGAGCTACCTATTTGCCACGGACGCACCAAATGGAGAACTGAGGGAACAGAGAAGCCACACCAGCTGTGACACCATGACAATACCCTAAACGTAAGACAATAAAGTCCTAGACAAAGATGCGTGGGAATCCAAGGGTTTGCGGGGTGCAACAGAAAAAGCTCAATGAAAAGGGTGAACTTTGGCTCTTGTGAGAATTTCCTGTATGAAAGTGAGTTCGCAGATACTCAAGACAGAATACAACTTCTTTATTCCTAGCAATGAAGAAATTATAAAGAAATGATCTTTTATTGAGGAACATTTTTTCTCTTCATAATGGATACAAATGGCTACAAAGTAATTAAAACAAATTTCCATGACTCATTGTTGGCTAATGCAAAAGTAACCTTCTGTAAAATGAATAAAGTTCCCTTGTTACTTCTTAAAAGTTAAATAAATAAAAATTAAAGTGTTTATGTGTTTTATAAAAGTTCCCACATCTCCAGATAACTTGGACTTCACCAAATATAATTATTACTGGTTTGGAAAATTCTGATTACAAAAACCATTTGCCCCATGTGGCTATACAGTATCTTAAGAGTCGTTCTATTTATTTGCTCAGCATTATGTGACTTGCTTCAGAATTTCCACTTCAAGAGGCAAATTTTCTTTGGCACTCAGCTGAGCCAGCTTATTAGGCACAGATGCCTTTTTCTGTTCCTTTCTAGTTTGGAATGACACTCAGGAGGGGCCACACCCATTCTGTGCCGAGGCCTTCGACAGGGCAGTGGGGCTGGCTTCCTGTGCACACAGAGCCATACGTGCGGATGGACCAGGGACTCACAAAGCCCTCAGTGACATGGAGCAGAGAACACATTCTCCCCAGGCTTGGCCTGTGACATGATCTGGCCCTTAATTTTATTTGAATTTTAAGCACTTCTCTCCCTCACCTCAAACTTAGCTGCTACTACTGCTACTGCCACTACTATAACTGCCACTAGAAGTGCTACCAAAAAAGCAGTATTTATGTATTAAAAGAATAGAAAAAATTATTCTCTTGAAACTCAGAACATAAGTCCCCATTTTATATGTGAAACTATAGTACAGTTGCCTTCTGAAATTTTTAAAAGGTCATCTAACTCAGTGTCCTCACCAAGTACATCTTGCCTTCTCTCATCTTCAAAATATATCTAACCCAATTAGAACCCACATCTTAGAACTACCTACAAAGTACTTAAAAACTGGCTTCCATCTTACATTCTGCCTTGTTACACTTCGAAATGCAATTCTCTGCATGGTTTTCATATGCTAACACGCAGTGAGCCTTCCCTATCCTCCCGTGGCACATCCACAGATTCTACCAACCATGATCAAAAATAAAAATACTCAAAAAAAAAAAAAAACTGCACCTGCAGTGAACATGTACAGACATTTTTTTCTTGTCATTTTCCTCTAAACAACGCAGCTGGACGCCTATCTGCACAGCATTTATATGTCCTAAGTAATTCAGAGGTGGTCTGAAGCGCACGGGACGTGCATGGGTTATCTGTGGATGCAATGCACATGTGATAAAAGACCAAGCACTCCTGACTGTGGCACCCACAGGAATGCCTGGATCCAACCTCTGCAGAATCAAAGGGACAAGAGTACCACGAACATTTTTTCTCTTTACCATAAAAGTATCAATGCTCCATCAAAAACTTCAACGCAGCAACATGTCACTGGTTGCTCCTGCACGTCTGTCTAACAGCTGATGATTCTTGCTCTCAATAAGATAAGCATCCCTATCCCTGCCAATCTGGGTGCTCTGAGCAGCCTGAGAGATCCTGCTATGTGCAGATATGGGACGGCTCTGCTCAGCACGGGAGAGGAGACCCTGGAGCGCACAGCTTCCCACCGCCGCCTCCAGCCAGCCCACTGTGCTCAGCTGGACCACCACACTGTATCGTCCTACACGGAGAGGACAGAATGCCACGAGAGGCCACTGTCATCTTTGCCCCTGGACACACAGCATAGGCCCTGTGCTGGCAAAATTTAAGAGGCAGGTAAATATGATGAAAGAATGAAGTTAGCAATGAGAAATGAGAAAGAAAATTCCTTTCTACACAAATGATATAGATACATTTTAATAATTTAGGCTTTAATTACGTAACCTAAAAGTCTGCAGGCTGAAATAAACATTAAATTATGTGAACTATAAATAACATGGTATTGCACATTTTTGGAACATTTTAGGATTCAAAAATTATCCTAATGTTATCATTTGTCCTGAAAGTAGTTCAGTGAGTTCAGCACATAAACTACCTTAAGATCCACTGAGATAGCTCAGCAGATGGGGATTCGATCCCCAGCACCACATGCCATGCCAGCTGCAGCACACACCATTAATCCCAGCGCTGGGGTGGGGAAAACAGGAGGATCACCACGAGTCTGAGCTGCGCAGTGAAACCCTGTTCCAAATACATAAAAAAGAGCCACTTCATAACGATACTAGTGATCACAGATATATCTTATCCCCAATATAAGTCAGAGAATGCCAGGATCCTATTAAAACTACTATTTTTCTTCTAAGTTTTACTGCATGGATCTTCATGCCTTATCTTACCAAGTGGTCATGTAATCACCTATAATTTAAGTGTACACTTTTATGTTACAGAGGGCCTGGAATGATACTAGTTTTTGCCTTTCATCAACTCAGACTGCTGAGTGAGAGTTCAAAATCCATCACTTGCTCTGTCCTCCCCGACACCATACTCTGGGCAGCACAAACGAAGGGGAGGACCTAAAGACACAGCCTGGGGCTGAGAAGACCTGTCCCTAGTCACACATCTGTCAACCATTGCCTGTGAAACCTTAATTCGTTCAACATCACTGAGCTAAATGTACTTCACAGAAGCAGGAATAGTAATGTGTACTGTCTCTCTGCATACATATTCTAACTAAGTAGCATAAAATCTGTAACACGGTAAGTGCCACACGTGTAAGAACTGTCACTCTTCATCAATGGCTGATCTATTTACAAGGGAAAACAGAAAAGATTTGCCTAAAAGGAGGTCACAAGATAGAACAAAAGAAATGTCATTCACACTGCAAGGTTTTTGGTTTTCTCCCATATCTTTATAAAAACTAAATGATGACACAGAAAAACTATATACTTCTACTAATGTTATCGTATCAATTTCTGAATTAAATTTGCCTTGTCCAAGCAAATATGCACACCTTCCCCCAAAGCACAAGCATGTTTAAGGACAGTGTTCCCCTCAACACAGTCATTACACATGGCAGTGATACTTGTCTTCCTTCTTTAAAAAAGAGTATTCCCAGCTGCCATTAGGTGCAGGACAGCAAAAAATCAGTCATTTATTTCAGTACAGAATTAAAGAGAGAGAGAGAGAGAGAGAGAGAGAGAGAGAGAGAGAGAGAGAGAGAGAGAAAGAAAAGGTGTACTCTTACATTCTGGGAAAAATGTTAAATTTGCTTTAAAAGAAACAGTGCTACCTGAATAAGCATGGATAAACCCTGGTGTTTTAGGAAAGGGTGGAAAAATGCCAGGTACGCTTATTCCTCTTTAGCAGCTACACGGGGAGAATGATTTTCTAAGATCTTCATTATCTCTTTTCAGTCTTTAAAAAATCTCCACACGTGATCTTCTAGCTTCCTTTATAATCCAAAAAGCACACTCTGGACAACAGCAATGACCGTGGCCATGATGGGAGTGGATCTGAGCCACTTTAGCAAATAAGGAATCACTCCGGAATAACCATGGCCAAAGCCCAGAGGTCATGCTGCTGTTCCGGGTTGCTCAGTCTTGGCAACCTCTTTAAAAACCTTCTAGATTCTCAACCATTAAAGGTTAGTGTCTAAGACTAAAACTTAAACATCTCAGGGCCAGAAAGTGCACTTCTTGCTAATACCTCTGAAAATCCCTTTGTGGACTCTTAAGTGCAGACACAGAAACCCAGTTTGGATGTGTTTGTAGACATCCGACTAGTCAGGGCACTCCAATCTCTCCCCATAGGTAACAGTTTCTCTGTTGCAGGTAAACTGAATTCTGGTGCAGGCGCAGCGATCTCATCTAGAATCCTGTCTGAGATTCAAGGCGACAATTCACTACCTCATTAGTTGTGATTATGCTTTCCAGTAGTGATTTTTAAAAAAGTCAAGTAATGAGGGTTAATACACATATTCAATTCAGTGACCACAACTTTAAAAGCTGACGGGGGACTAACATGCAGGCTTTGTGCATCTAAGTTTGGGATATTATATAAGAATTGCAAGCTTGCCTTGCTGTGAGTCTCAAGGTTCCTACCATGTAAGCTGATTTTTGTTTCATTTAAAGCTATTTCTGTTTCATCTGTCACAGTAAATTATCTTGGGAACTAAAAATATTTGAAGGTTACTCTAAATATTTCTGGAGATAAATGCAAATCTAAGTGCTATGTTTTCACAGCTACTTTGACTTAAAGTGAAGGAAAGCTAAAGATAT